GAATAGAAGCAAAGGAATCATGTTGAAGCCACATGCCATAGAACCTAAAAGCTTTAGGAAACCTCCTAGCTGGCAGCCTAGGAGTAACAAGAATTCCACTATGATCTGAGAAATCTGGAGCCAGAAACTCCACCACACAATCCTGTAACTTCTCCAACCAATCCACATTGACCATAACATAAGCCTATCCAACTTTCTAGCAATGAGATTGCTTTGATGCTGATTTGACCAAGTAAAGATAAGACTTGTTGCAGTATGATCAACCAATTTCATTTGCCTACCCAGTCTCTAAAATCAGTAGTACTAGGGGAAATGGATACCTCATTAGAAGCCTCAGATAAATACAGTATATCATTAAAGACACCACCTACCAACCAAGGGGAACCTTGGACTTTCCATTTACTTAGACACCTGTAAGTTCTTAGTATGTCCTTCTCCTCATTAGAACCATAAACCGATGTGAAAAAAAACTTATCATTATTTTCCAGTGACACTAGAGTGTGAATATAATTCACCTCTGTAGCCAACACCAGAGTGTTTACTATAGTTATCAGCAAATCGAAAACCGACAAACTTATGTCTTATTTCCTCAATCTTTGTGGACTTCTGAACTCTAGTTTCTAATAAAGCAAACAAAATTACCTTATTTACTCTCAGATACTGAAGCACTGCTTTGTGCTTCTCATGGATATTAAAGCCCCTCATGTTCCATATTAGAAACTTCATTTACGAGAGTTAGCCACCTTAGTGGCACCTCCCTGACTTGTTAAACCCTTCCTATATGCTTTCTTCTTTGGTGGAGGCTACAACTTAACATTTCTACTCCCACATAGCAATTCAAATGCATTAGTATGAATAAAAGGTGGATTAGCTCCCTTTGCTTTAGGCTTTACACCATTGATGACCTTGTTGAATTCCCCTTTAACTGGGAGTCACAGGAGGGGTGGTATCAATAAAAACTGCCTTGTCTTTGTCTGCCACTCCAGTCTCCTGCACAACCAATACCTCATCCTCCTTATTAAGAGCAGAAACTTGGGTCTGCTTGACCCGCCACACCTTCTTCGTCTTCATCCTAGCAGGTGGAATGAGCAATCATGCCCAAACACCATACATTTATCACAACACCATGGAAGACCGCAATACTCAACCCCTACAAAGAACTCATCCATGTCATCCGGAGTAACACTAATCTTGTCAACCCTTGCCTTCTTCGCACTAACCTCTACACATACCTTCGTCCGACCCACACGCTCCCGATGTGTAGTTGAATGATCCATAAACAGAGGCCTACCCACATCACTAGCAATCCTTTCCAGACCCTCCCTTATAACCAACTCAGCTAGCAGTCCCGTTAGATTTATCCATACTAGAACTGCAGAATTATCAATGTCAAGCGCTCTGATACCTGGAGTCCACCTTCTGAGATACAAGATTCTCTCCTTGAAATGCCACGACCCCCCTTCAAATACCCAACGACAAACCGCCTCAGAGGGAAACTGGAAGAGAACAAGATGATCTTCCAGCAAGGAAACCCTAACTTCACCATCTCATCCCCAGATCCAATTTGCCTAATATTGAAGAGCAGAGAGCGAAGGCGTAGCCATCAGAAACTTCCCTACCAGACTATGTTCCCACTTCTTCGCGCCCTCCACGATGACCGATTTGGGGATCCAAAGCGAGCCATTAACCAGCTCAGCTTCATAGTAATCCAATCGATTTTCCTCCGCCGCGTGGAAGAGCAAAGCCCAGGACCTCCCGTCGCCAAAGGCTCCCGGGGAGGCTCCGTCGGCGACGGTGGCCATCACGAATCCGCGAGAAATCAGAAAGAATTTAGAGAGAGAGAGAGGTTGTTAATATTTCCGCGAGAAATCAAAACGAGCCTCGTGGCTTTGGTTGGAAAAACTAAAAAGAATTTTGCTACCAAAATTATTTGGTTGAAAAAAGTATCAATCCTTTTGCTACCAAATTAATTGGTCTCTTCTAGTTTTATTTGGTTATCTATACTCTCATTTTAATAAGAAACCAAATTGTTAATATTTTAGCTACCAAAATTTAATTGGTTGTAAATACTAACCTTTTCTTAACCAAATTTAGTTTGGTTGTAAAATTTTTGGTTGCGAAACCTACATTTTGTTATAGTGTCAGGTATGGTGGTAAATGCAAATCCCTTGAGGTTATGATTGATCTTATTATAAAGGAAGTTGAAGTTTGCTGGAGGGGGGATCGGTTGAGCACTTCTACTATGCTATATAGTATTGGTGCTTTAATGTACAACTTAAAGTTGTACCATAACATTAAATGTATAAGTTTAGGTTGTACCATAAAACAATTTGTACCATTATGTTATGGTACAACTTTACAACTTGAAGTTGTACCATCACATAAAAGTACAAGTTCAAGTTGTACCATAAAAGAATTTATACAAAAAGTATAAGTACAATCTGAAGTTGTACCATAACGTAAATGTACAATTTTAAGTTGTACCATAAAGGCAAAATCCTATAGCACCAATACTATATAGCATTGTAAAATTTCTCGGGATCGGTTGCTTATGGATGCTTTTCTCGCTCTCTTTTCTAATTGGCTCAATAGTATAATAGTCTTAACAGATTTACTTAAAGATTGTAGGCTCAAAGTTGGTTTCCCTAGTGGTTGGCAGCGTTGTTGCAAATAATAATACTCTCCTTTTTTATGATATAATTATACGAATTGATTCATAAAAAAAAAGTTGAAATAATATTCCTTCCGTAATCACAACACAATTCTTTCATTTCACAGGTAAAAATATTATCCTTACAATCTTGTTAATTATGTTACATTTGCCAAGGAAATCCTTACATTATACCAATTCATAAGTATTATATAAAATGTAAATATAATATACAACAGTTATATAAAGACAGTTATATCATACACGCAACAGTTCAATCAATCTCATCACTTCATATATTAAAAATGTCTTACTAAAAAAGTGTAGAGAATTAGTTAATACAAAATCTATATAAACCAAGCTCTAGTGGTAAAGCACAAATATATGGGATAAATTTCGAGAACCTCCTCAATTCACCCTCCCTTCACCTGTGTTTTGGTCAAAACCCTTTATACTTAAGCAACTTTTCGTACTATATATTCATGAGCACTTCTACTATACTATAAAGCATTGATGTTTTAATGTACAACTTGAAGTTATACCATAACGCTAAAGGTAGAAGTTCATATTGTACCATAAAGGAATTTGTACCCTTATGTTATGGTACAACTTTACAACTTATAGTTATACCATCACATAAAGGTACAAGTTCAAGTTGTACCATAAAAAAATTGTACAAAGAGTATAAGTACAATCTCAAATTATACCATAACATTAAGGTACAACTTCAAGTTGTACCATAAAGGTAAAAACTTATAGCACCAATGCTATATAGGGGTGGATTCGGTTCGGTTCGGTTCGGTTATAATCGATAACCGATTGGTCGGTTACCGGTTAACCGAACCACCATCTTCCCCTACCGAACACCGACCGACGCCAATGCCTTGGTTAACCAATAACCGACCGGTCGGTTATGGGTTAGTTGGTCGGTTAACCGAGATAACCGAAAAAATGATGGTGGTTCGGATTTAACCGGGTAAAATTATTAGAATTGCTTAAAATGAAAGGTTCTAACTTACATTTCTACATCTAAATCACCAAATTAATTTCTCAAATTCAACAGCATAAAATTATAAACTTCATAACCGGGTATTTTCACATCGTTTTGGTGAGGGCCTGAGGGGGGTGGTCGGTCGGTTATTTTCGGTTATTGTCGGTTAACCGGATAACCGGTTTTCGGTTACTGGGTTAACCAAAATACCTATTAGGAGCTCCGACCACCGACCGAAGCATATAATTTTCGGTTATCGGTGAACCGGTAATCGCCGGTTATCGGTTTAACCAACCGGTTAATCGACAACCGATAACCGAACCTCCAGCCCTAATGCTATATAGCATTGTAAAATTGATATGATCCAAATCCGAAGATAACCCTCGAACTCGGATTATAAGACCAAAGTACGCAGCTCCAACGATCTTTTCTTGATTTTCTTGAAAACGATCTTTTCTTGATTTTCTTGATTCTTTGATTTTCTTGATTTTCTTGACTTTCTTGATTTTCTTGATGCCGCCTTTCTTGAACTCGAAAATACAGATACTTGCGGAATCGATCAAACAAATCCGAACTCGTGAGAAGGGCCAGAAGGTATATGAAACCTTCCAAACAATCTCGAACCCGTGGAAGAGGCCAATCGATATCGTCGATGTTCGCCACAACTAGACGCGTTCTCTAGTTGATAAGAGACCACTCAAACCTCCCGAATCCTCAAAGGAGTGAATAAGCAAAACGTTCACTTGAACTTGTAAACACTTGTATTTGATTGCTGAAACTTGAATATTGGGTACAAAATTCGTAGCTCTTACATCCTCTATTTATAGAGGTCATAGAAACATAAATCTAGCCTAAAAGGAATAGGAAAACAAATCCCAAACTAACTAGGAAAGATAATACTACTTAAATAAGGACTATAACTCGTTTTTATGACCAAAGGAAGCTCCTTAGCAGCTAAGTAATCTCCAAACACGTTTTTAATGCTTAAGGAAGCTCCTTAGTGGTTAAGCAATCTCTTTCCATGTCCTTTTCACATTTGGATGACTTGGGAAACAAAAGAATAACGTTTTGGGCTCCAAGAAATGTTGTAAGTTGGATCCTTAATGCATTCTCCATTTTATCCATCAAGAATGCTCCCAGTTGATCCTTAAATCGTTGAATTCGAACCTTCATTTTGGGACCACGAGATTGAATATCGCGCTAGTCGATATCACATCAAAAATTCCTCTATATACATATACCTTTGAGTATATTAACAGGAAAAAGAAATTCATTATCTGATAAAAAAAGATCCTTCTAAAGATATGGTTGATAATAGAAATGTCAAGCTTCGATAATGTCTTGTCATCAGTTTATGTAACATAGTTTTAATATTCATTAAATAAAATGTTCAACCATTACTTAAGACTTACGTAACTCCATTCTAGAAATGTTACCTAAAGTATAAATAGATTACGTAAGGGTTATTGTAATGCAATATTCAAGTCGGTATAATATAGTTGATAGCCCGTTAGTTACACATGTTTTCACCCCTGTTCTTACACCGTTTGAGATGTGGTTTCTCGTGTTTTAGACCGATTTCACGCTAGGTTGTGCTTGTTTGTGATATTTCAGGTCCTGGCAAGTGAATGAAGGTTTAGGAGCGAGTTCGGGGTCGATTGGGCGAAGATCGGGCGCGAGACAAGTCGCAAAGGAGGTCACACGGGCTACCCTGATGTTCACACGGCCGTGCGAGAGGCCAGTCTGGCCGTGTGACATTCTGCGAGAGCAAACACGGGCAGAGCAGGAGATTGACACGGCCGTGCAAGTGGTCGGGTTGGCCGTGCCACATTCGCCGAGAGCAGACACGGGTAGAAGGAAGTCACACACGGCCGTGCCACCCTGGCCGTGTAAGAAGCCTGGAATTCGACTAAGTGATACGGTGCGTTTTGCCTCACACGGGCAACTGGGTAGGCCACACGGCCGTGCCACCCTGCCCGCGTGAGTCGGGATTTCCTGGTTTTAAGCCAAATTCCGAACCAAAGAAGAGGAGAGCTGGGTTTTGGATCCCAAACACCCAAGGGACGAACCCTAGAGAGAGAGGGCGATTTGAGGGCATTCTTGGAGTAGAGTTGGAGGATTTCTTCTCCTTGGAAGCTCAAGGAACAAGCCCAGACTTGAAGACTGATCATCTGAAGATTCTTACTGCAGTCTCTCTCTTCTCTATGGAGTAACTTCCCTTCACTTAGGTTTTGAGGAACCCTAGCTATGTTTGTTTGATTGGATGATTGTATGAGTACTCTGACTGGATAATCTTGAGTTCATATTCAATCTATGCATGTTTTCATGATTCAATTCTGCTTTAGTCGAGATTATTGATTCTGCTTTGATAGTAGTGGATCGATTGCTTTAGTCGAGGGTTGATTCACTGCTTTGTATCGATTGAGAACCTCTTTCGATAGAGGGAGTCTAGTTCAGAACGCCTTGATCAGTTGTTCTAGAGAAGGATACGTCCCTCTAGGCAATTGACTCAAGAGGGCCTTGTTCCTTTAGTCGAGACTCAAGGTCTAGTCAAGGATTCTCCGCATTGTGAATGAAAGTGAAACAGGTTAGAGATCATCAATCATTAATCTGGCTAGTGGCTAGGGGGAATCATACCTAAGTGAGTTCCCAACCTGTAATTAGATTAACTTTAACTGTAGTTTGCTAGAGTAGTTTTAGTTCTTTCGTCTTAATCTGATTTGCTAAATAATAAACTGAAGCTGAGTAATAGTAAATCTAGAGACCCGTGGATTCGATATTTATCACTTGAGCCACTATACTGCAGTCCCTTTCATTGGTTACACTTGGCCTTTGTTAGGTGTTGTGTCGTAGCGAGTCAAGTTTTTGGCGCCGTTGCCGGGGACCTTTCTAGAGTATTAGGAAAGGCAGAAGTTTGTTACTTTAGAGTAGAGGATGTGATGAGCTGAATCCAGCATGGCTTGATCTCGAAGTTATTTGCTGGAATAGGCGGGTAGAGGATGACCGGGCGGATGTCAGCAATCCGCGGAGTGTAGTAGTACTCCAAGGTGGGACCCGGCTGCGGTGGATGATGAACTCCATGATCCTGGGGTATGGGGTTGTTCCCCAGGACCTGATTCACCGGGGGAACCTGCTGCGGATTCCCCTGGTGCGGATTGTAGTCTCCGTCCATCCCGTGCTCTTCTTCAGAATCGCTACTCAAGTGGCCGTCTATGCGCTCTTCCGTAGCCAGTCTAGCTCGCTGTTGTCTCCTAAGCTGGCGACAGGTGCGGTCAATCTCTGGATTCAACGGCAGTAAACCTCCTGACTGGCTACGGGTCATGCACTACCTGCACACACTCAAGCAAGCAAACCCGTGAAGGCACAAGTGGGACAAAGCAAACAAAACAAAAAGAAAAGCTAAATTAACAGAAATCACTTTTCTTCAACAACCAAGCCGTCCCCGGCAAAGGCGCCAAAAACTTGACTCGACTCTACTGTCACTCCAGGAATTGGCCAAGTGTAACCACTTCCTAAAGTGTAGTATAGCGGGTTTAGGTTTAATTATCAACCCGGGTCCTAGATTTGCTGACTACTCAGTGAGTTCTTGTTATCTAGCAATAAAACTGGAGTGCAAGTCTAAACTACCAAACAAACAAAGCAAGTAAACTGGTTGTATTCAGGTTAAAGAGGTCACCCGGATATGGTTCCCCCTAGACTGCAGTTAAGCCGGATTGTAATTACCAAGTTCAGTTTCTATGACAGTTATACTGTGGAAGGTTCTTAACCAGCCTGAAGTCTCGACTAAAGGTCTTCAGACCCTCTCAATCTGACTCTCTAGCGGGCGACTAACCTCCACCGGAGTCGACAGATTGAGGCCATAAGAACAAAACCTCCACTACCGGAGTAGATCCGGTACAGAATAGTGAGTTGGCTCCTCGACTAAAGTCACCAACTCCCTACCTTCAATCAAGGATACTCTATTAACCTATGCAGATATTCTCATTCTAGGTTAAAGCAGAAACAACAGGAATTTGATCAGGATTCAAGTCATTCAATCATTAAAACCTCAATCGAATATAATCAATCACAGAATCAGTACTTGGGTTCATACAATCAAAGCCTAACATACAAATCTAGGGTTCTCCATACCCAGATGAATGGGAGAACTACTCCATAGAGAAGAAAGCAAAAGCAGAATCAGACACGGAATTCATACTGCAAAGGATGGATTCCTGCTTCTGGACGTTGATTGGCACTTCTCCAAGCTCAAGCTGGCCTCCAATGGTGTTGAAGATCAATCTAGGGCACTTGGGAACTCTTGCTCGTCACTTTCTCTCTCTAGGAACTGATCTCTCTCTCCAAAAACTCGAATCCCCCCGAATTGTGGCTGAAATTCTGCTTAAAAGGAGAAAATCCCGACTCACACGGCCAGGGTGCATGGCCGTGCAGCTCACCCAGTTGCCCGTGTGAGTCAAAACGCATCGTTTCATTTAGTTCGAATTCCAGGCTCTTTGCACGGCCAGAATGGCACGGCCGTGTGGACATCCCCTCTTGCCCGTGTTTGCTCTCGCAGAATGTGGCACGGCCAACCCGGCCACTTGCACGGCCGTGTCGATCCTCTGCTCTGCCCGTGTGTGCTCTCGGCAAAACTCGCACGGCCAGGCCATTACTTCACACGGCCGTGTGAACATCAGGGCAGCCCGTGTGACCTCCTTTGTGACTTGTCTCGCACCCGATCTTCACCCAATCGACCCCGAACTCGCTCCTAAACCTTCATTCACTTGCCAGGACCTGAAATATCACAAACAAGCACAACCTAGCGTGAAATCGGTCTAAAACACGAGAAATCACCTCTCAAATGGTGTAAGAACAGGGGTGAAAACATGTGTAACTAACGGTCTATCAAACTCCCCCACACTTAACCGTTTGCTTGTCCCCAAGCAAACCTAACTCAAACCAATGCAACTGTCCAGACCTCTATAGCAACAAACAACCCAGATCATAGATAGAGGACTTCCTAGATCATTTAGCAACTTACGAGGTCAACCGACGCACAAGTCATCTCATAACTTCTTCGGCGAGTCGGCATCATGGCAAATAGTGAAGAGAGGACAAATGAATCATGGATGAAGAGATTCTCAAAAACAAAGGATCATGGACTCACATTTTTCAAGGTGCTCTATTTTCTTTGAAGATGGTTGGAACCCCGTTTCTTTCTGTTTTGCTTGTTTTCTGTTATTTTTTTCTTTTCTTTTCTTTTCAAGGGTCCCAACCTGCTCTTACCGGCCATGCCAGGAGCGGATGTCTCAAGTCTCGTGTGGGGGAAAGACATGTAAGGGGGCTGGAGGTAGTAGGTGGAAATTGGGAACGAATTCCCGTCTCCCCTTACACACTTTCGCCCTATTCGCACGGGAGACGTTATTTTTCAGCACATTTTCGAGCACCTGTTATTTTCAAAACATGATACAAGAGTCCATGACAGGTAGAGAATCCACAACACCACACCATTCAAGGGTCCTAAGATCACTAATTCACTCAATCAACCAACACAATATGAAGAAGAAATGAGACTTCTTAAATGCATCAACATCCTCCATAGTGCTACACTACCTCCCTAGGTTGCATATCACTATAAAGACTGTCAATTCAAAGCATACTGAGCAGGCAATTGCAAGGAAACACATACTTGGAGCCCTCAAATTTAAAAATTTGGACAGTGGACTAGGCTCCAAGCACACAAACAGATCTAATGCAGTCAAAAGATAAACACCCCCCCCCCCCACACTTAAGAGCGACATTGCCCTCAATGGAGAAGAGGGAAGGGATAGGGAAAGATGTTACCGGTATGCACGGACTGCAGGGGACTGGAAACGGGCCAGTCGGGGCAAGCACAGCCAAAGGGGAACAGAAGAGCTCAAACACAGTATGTTAGGTTCAATGGTCAGCCCAATAAAATATCATCCAAACCAAAAGAAAACAAACCAAACCCAAACCGGGTTACAATCCGACTCAAAACACAAGAAAGAAAATCAAACCGTGGTGGGGTTGCCTCCCCACAAGCGCTTCTTTACCGTCTTTTAGTTGGACGCCCATGGTGGATACTCAGGGCGGTGCAGGAACAGGTGCCTCCAAGAGCGGATCCACGTCGCTCTTGAGGTACAGCTTGAGGTTGTGGCCATGCACCCGACGGATGCGACCACCCTCATCAGTCAGCTCGACCTGCCCATCTCGCAAGATGCAGGCGAGTGAGTACCCGGACGGCCAGGGTGGTGGTGGTGCAGGAGGTGGGACCAACTCATAGTGGTCTCCACTCTTCTTCCGTGCAGGCTTAGCAACCTGCTGCTTCGGCCGCCACTCCTCCTTGAGCTTTTTGTTTGGAGGCGTGGCTGGATGGAGTGGCGGCGAAGGAATGATAGGAGGGTCCTGCAAAATAGGAGGTGCAGAAGGGTACACGACAGACTCGTGTACCTGATCAGAGATGGCATTCGCAGGCGTGACAGCAATCATAGCACAGTGATCAAACTCAGTCACAGAAAAAGTAGCCTGTTCATTCCCAGCACGCAAGATCAGTTTTCCATCATGCACATCAATAAGTGCCTTGGCGGTGGCAAGAAATGGCCTACCTAGAATCAAAGGCACATCCACATCCTCATGTATATCAAGAATAACAAAATCAACAGGGTATGTGAATGCACCAACACCAACAAGCAGATCCTCTATGATTCCCCTAGGATGCACAATAGAACGATAAGCTAATTGAATGCTCATCCTAGTAGGGCTAAGTTCACCTAGGTCTAGCATTTTATACAACTTATATGGCATGACGTTTATGCTAGCACCTAGGTCCGCCAAGGACTTGCCTACATGCATGCTGCCAATAGTAAGAGGGATAGTAAAACTCCCTGGATCCTTGCGCTTCTCGGGCAGCTTGTTCTGCAGGATAGCAGAACACTCCTCGCTCAGCATCACTGTCGAAAGATCCCCAAGTTTCTTCTTGTTGGTGCAGAGATCTTTCATGAACTTCGCGTACTTGGGTATCTTCGACAGTGCCTCCACGAACGGTATGCTGATGTTGAGCTGCTTCAACATTGCCATGAACTTGGCAAACTCAGTCTCCAGCTTGTCTTCGTGTAGGCGAGTGGGGAAGGGAAGCTGGGGTACATGCTCCTTGACCACTGGTTGTGGCTTAGGAGCAGGGGCTTCCTTCTCCACCCGCACTTCTGCATCGTCGGCTGGAAGTGCTGAAGCAGTCAGTGGTACCTCCTGTCTGGCCGGGACAGGATCAGCAGATATGGTCTTACCGCTCCTGGTAAAAATGGCATCCAGCTGCTGATGCTGGTGAGGATCTCGAGGATTCGGGACAGTGGTGGCAGGCAAAGTCCCCGGTGCCCTGGTGGTGGTCTGGCGGGCCAAGATGCCCACCTGGGTCTACAGATCCTGCAAAATGGCACCCTGGTTCCTCTGACCTGCTTCCAGTGAGGCTACACTCTGGTCCAACCTCGTGATAGTCGCCTGAGTGCTCGTCATGAATGAAGCTAGAATGTTTTCCAGCTTCGTCATCCTGTCATCTGGGGCTGGAGCTGCTGCTGGCTCGGCAAACTGGCGCTGGGGCTGCTGGAATAGCTGCCCCTGCCTAGGCTGGTAGGGTTGCTGCTGTGGGTCTGGCCCCTGGCGAGCCTGGAAGGGCTGCCTCTGCTGAAAACCACCTGCTGGTGCTGGGAAACCAGGTGGGTTAGTGGTGTTGCTGCTCCAGGCGAAGTTGGGATGCTGGCGCCACCCCTCATTATATGTGCTACTGTATGGATCGAGGCGCCTCGCATTGGCGATGAAGGCCAACTGCTCCTGGGGTGTGGTAGACTCCCTCATAGCCTGGCAGTCCTCCACTAGGTGATTGGAGCTCTCACACCACTGACACTGAGCAACTGGAGGTGTAGCCAAACCTCTGCCCGGAATAAGACTGTTGGGCTGCTTCAATGTCTGCACTAGCTCAGCTACCTGCTGCTCGAGCCCGGATCTGGTCCCCATGGCGTGCACACCACGGTCTCGGGACTGTCTGCCTCTGCTGCTCTGCCCCCAGGAATGATCTCTGGCAGCCAATGTATTAATCATCTGGTTCAGCTCGGGTGGAGTCTTAGTGAGGATATCCCCCCCTGGGCATAGAGACTCAATCACCCTCTGGCTATCTGGAGAGAGGGCACTGTAGAAGTTCCCCACTGTGAATGCATCGCTGAAGCCATGATGGGGGCATTGCCAGAAATAGCCCATGTACCGCTCCCACGCATCACGAAGTGACTCATCTGGCTCTTGGCGGAAGTGAGTGATCTCCCGCTGGATCTCTGTAGTCTTCGATGCCGGATAATACCTGTGCACGAACTTGTCCGCCAGATCGTCCCAAGAGGTGATGGACAATGGGGGCTGGGTCTCCAACCACCTCTTAGCATTCCCCGCCAGAGAATGGGGGAAAAGATGAAGGCGGATTGCATCATCCGGGACACCATTCAGCTTGAACCCATTCGTCAGCTGCAGAAAACGGGAAAGATGTACCCTGGCCTCCTCATCTTTCAAGCCATGAAACTGGATAGAGGATGTGATGAGCTGAATCCAGCATGGCTTGATCTCGAAGTTATTTGCTGGAATAGGCGGGTAGAGGATGACCGGGCGGATGTCAGCAATCCGCGGAGTGTAGTAGTACTCCAAGGTGGGACCCGGCTGCGGTGGATGATGAACTCCATGATCCTGGGGTATGGGGTTGTTCCCCAGGACCTGATTCACCGGGGGAACCTGGTGCGGATTGTAGTCTCCGTCCATCCTGTGCTCTTCTTCAGAATCGCTACTCAAGTGGCCGTCTATGCGCTCTTCCGTAGCCAGTCTAGCTCGTTGTTGTCTCCTAAGCTGGCGACAGGTGCGGTCAATCTCTGGATTCAACGGCAGTAAACCTCCTGACTGGCTACGGGTCATGCACTACCTGCACACACTCAAGCAAGCAAACCCGTGAAGGCACAAGTGGGACAAAGCAAACAAAAAAAAAAAGAAAAGCTAAATTAACTAAAATCACTTTTCTTCAACAACCTAGCCGTCCCCGGCAACGGCGCCAAAAACTTAACTCGACTCTACTGTCACTCCAGGAATTGGCCAAGTGTAACCACTTCCTAAAGCGTAGTATAGCGGGTTTAGGTTTAATTATCAACCCGGGTCCTAGATTTGCTGACTACTCAGTGAGTTCTTGTTATCTAGCAATAAAACTGGAGTGCAAGTCTAAACTACCAAACAAACAAAGCAAGTAAACTGGTTGTATTCAGGTTAAAGAGGTCACCCGGATATGGTTCCCCCTAGACTGCAGTTAAGCCGGATTGTAATTACCAAGTTCAGTTTCTATGACAGTTATACTGCGGAAGGTTCTTAAACAGCCTGAAGTCTCGACTAAAGGTCTTCAGACCCTCTCAATCTGACTCTCTAGCGGGCGACTAACCTCCACCGGAGTCGACAGATTGAGGCCATAAGAACAAAACCTCCACTACCGGAGTAGATCCGGTACAGAATAGTGAGTTGGCTCCTCGACTAAAGTCACCAACTCCCTACCTTCAATCAAGGATACTCTATTAACCTATGCAGATATTCTCATTCTAGGTTAAAGCAGAAACAACAGGAATTTGATCAGGATTCAAGTCATTCAATCATTAAAACCTCAATCGAATATAATCAATCACAGAATCAGTACTTGGGTTCATACAATCAAAGCCTAACATACAAATCTAGGGTTCTCCATACCCAGATGAATGGGAGAACTACTCCATAGAGAAGAAAGCAAAAGCAGAATCAGACACGGAATTCATACTGCAAAGGATGGATTCCTGCTTCTGGACGTTGATTGGCACTTCTCCAAGCTCAAGCTGGCCTCCAATGGTGTTGAAGATCAATCTAGGGCACTTGGGAACTCTTGCTCGTCACTTTCTCTCTCTAGGAACTGATCTCTCTCTCCAAAAACTCGAATCCCCCCGAATTGTGGCTGAAATTCTGCTTAAAAGGAGAAAATCCCGACTCACACGGCCAGGGTGGCACGGCCGTGCAGCTCACCCAATTGCCCGTGTGAGTCAAAACGCATCGTTTCATTTAGTTCGAATTCCAGGCTCTTTGCACGGCCAGAATGGCACGGCCGTGTGGACATCCCCTCTTGCCCGTGTTTGCTCTCGCAGAATGTGGCACGGCCAACCCGGCCACTTGCACGGCCGTGTCGATCCTCTGCTCTGCCCGTGTGTGCTCTCGGCAAAACTCGCACGGCCAGGCCATTACTTCACACGGCCATGTGAACATCAGGGCAGCCCGTGTGACCTCCTTTGTGACTTGTCTCGCACCCGATCTTCACCCAATCGACCCCGAACTCGCTCCTAAACCTTCATTCACTTGCCAGGACCTGAAATATCACAAACAAGCACAACCTAGCGTGAAATCGGTCTAAAACACGAGAAACCACCTCTCAAATGGTGTAAGAACAGGGGTGAAAACATGTGTAACTAACGGTCTATCAATAGTAAATTAAACATCTTTGCTTATTAGATAGTCCATTCAAGAGTTCATAATGGATGGCAGAATAACCTCTCATCTGAGTATCGATCCAAAAGAATCAAAATTGATTTAGTCGAGGAAAAAGCAAACAATATTATTTTTTGGTAGGTTTTGGCCAAAACCAACTAAGAATTTGATGTGTTAGTTGCGATATTGAAATTTTAATTTTCTACACCGAACCTATGGAAATATGTGTTACAACTATAAAGACTACAGTAGAATTATCTAGTTGTAACACATATATCCATCGTTTCAATATTTCCCTCCTTCATTTCCATTCCTCTCAACACTTCCCTCGTTTATATCCATCGAGTAGAATTATATGTTAGACAAAATCTTGTTATTTTTGTTGACACTCCGCGGAAATAGATTTGATCAGATCGTGATATTCAATAAATTTCATTTAACTCTATTGTCGAGTATACACTCAAACTAAAGAAATGGTGATGACGCTATATGTCACGAAATTGGAAAAAAAAAAGAGAAAGCAAATGCAAATAAATGATGTTAGTTTGGGAAATCAATATGAATCTGCAACTACTACCCTTGCCAAATTAATGAGAAAAAGCTAGAATGGCATTGTACTGTCTACAAATAATAAATATTGGCATTGAATCACATTTATTTGCTGCTAATTACACTGCTACAGGACAAAGTTTGAGTTTCATAATTAATGGCACACGACTTCTATGGGCAGAAATGATTAACCTTCGTATAGGAAATAAGATTGATGAGTGAAATTATTTTTTTGGTAAACATTATGAATGAAATTATTGATAATATATGCTATTATTAAGTTTTTTATGGAAATTTTTAATGCTACACAATTTCGTTGTTAACGTTTATGAAAAAAATTATTAATTATATACAATAGTCTTATGAACGTTTAGAAAGAAGTATATTGCCATATATACAAGAATTTATTGATAACATACATTGACATTATAAACGTTTTTGTGAAATGAATTATGAATAGAGTACAATAGCGTTATTAACGTTTGTGAAAGTATTATTAATTATAAGTGTTAATATTTTCGTATGGCCTGAACTTTGACCAAAATAAACATATTGGTCAATCGTTTCGATCTATAACATCCTGGCCCGAACTATACACCAAAATAAACAATTTGGCCAAACCCGATATTTGATTGTTAACTTGGACGGTCAAACGCATTGACTAACGGTCAACTCGCCACGTCACTGCCTCGTCACTGTCAAGTCAGAAGATCTGATAAATATTTAATTTTTTTGTTTTTTATTTTTGGTTTAGCTATGGTATTAGATGATGTTTTAATTTATAATAATTTAAAATTAGGGAATGTGTGGAAATTGTGAATTATATTAAATATTTTATGTTGACTTGGCAGTGACATGGCGGGTTAACTAACGGTCAACGCGTTTGACCGTCCAAGTTAACGGTCAAAAGTCAGATCTGGCAAAATTGTTTATTTTGGTGTATAGTTCGGGCCAGGATGTTATAGATCAAAAAGATTTGCCAGTATGTTTATTTTGGTCAAAGTTCAAGCCATCCGAAAATATTAACCCTAATTATAAACAATGATATTATCAACGTCTTGAATATAAATTAAATTCATTGTACTATTTTTTTTCTTTTATAATTTTTTCTTCTCTCCCTTGACTGATATAATGACTATTATTAAATTAATAAACTTCTGACAAATTGGTTTAAGTAATGGATCTTAACCGGTTCTATGGGGGAACGTGCATGTAATGATTTCCCTCGTTCTTGAACACTGGGAATGTCCAAGTCTATGATTCGGTGTCATGTCCATTTATTTAATTTATAATTGTTAATTAATTATGGGTTGTTAGAGATTATTAGGATGTGATTAGTGGGGTTAGTGATGGCCTAGAATTGGGGGACTTAGTTAGGTGTCTTTGTTTGGGCTTTCTAGTTTATACGGTTAGTATTTTCATTCTGTATTTAAGGTAGTAGATGGATAGATGCAAAGGAATTAATCAAGTATAATCAAGAAAAGGGTTTTACACACCTACGTGTTAATTTGGGAGGTTAGTTTTCCTCGAAAAAGGTTAAGGGTTCCGTTCTCGCCATTAAGAAGAACACTTCTCTTCTTCTCAGTCTATTTATCCTTCCTCTATTCTTCTTCTTCCTATTTCGATCTTTCTCCCTATATTCTATTCTACAAAACGTGCACATAACATTTGGTATTAGAGCCGGCTGATCCTACGACAATGGAGATTCGAGCAAAATCACTTGATTCTAAGCTGGAGGCGATGGTGCAAGAGAACGACATGTTGAGGCAGGTGATGCGAGAAGGTTTTGCTGCTCTCAATGAGAGGTTCGATCGATTGCTAGCATTGCGGGAGAAGAAGGAACCCAGCATGCAGCTCGGCGCCAACGGGGTAGGAGGCGACAACCAACTCAATGCCAAAATCAATTGGCCCCAATTGCTCAAGGCAGAGGTCTATGCTACCAGCGAAATGCAAACGGTGCTCGGGCTAACGGTTCTCCAACAACATAGCAATGCACCAAAAATTTCAGAATCTCTAGCCTCTTCTCTTGCTGTCACGTTGATGAAATCAGGACCAACTTCAATTGTGCAGGGGACGTTCAAAGAAATTGAATTCCGGAAGACGACGGAGTCCAACCCAAGCAACCAAACCATTCCGAGTCCCGTAATGACCATGCCGCTCGCACCCTTCCCGTGTCCAAGCTCTCTACCTACTCATCTGTTGGGTTGGTCCAACTCATATGGTGGTTGGATTAACCAGTTTGAGTTTGAGTTTTGATTGGTTTCTAGAAGATCCTCTATTTTCAAAATAGAGAGTTATTGTCTACTCAAAAGTAAAAAAAAAGTGACAGCCTTTCATTTTTTAGAGAGAGAGAATCAGAAAAGAGAATAGATAAAGAAAAAGAGAGAAGAGAGAAAGAGTTGCAGTTTTTCGTTTCTGCAGCAGGGTAGCCTGTTCAAGTGAGGGTTGTGGAAGATTGAACCGTTGGATCGTCCTGAAATTTGGACAGTGGGTTTGCAATTTTCTGGGATCCACTCTGACCGGAAGGATCGCCGTTTGGAGATCTAGTTTGTCTGAAATAGCTGTTGGATAGAAGGTGTACGAATATGTTTTTTGGTATCTCTAAACCTCTGTTTGCCTTGCTGTTGTTCTTGTTATCCACCATGTTGGTCAGAGCTATTGTGGTTGATTGTTGATCCAAGAAGGGTGTCCTTGAGGTGTTTGTAATCCTCTAGCTAGTCTAGAGAGGACTTGTAATCCCACCAAAGTCTAGTGGAGTTGTGGCTTGGACAAAGGTCCCGTGGTTTTTCCCGATTTGGGTTTTCCACGTAAAAATCGTGTGTCTTGTGCATTCTATTATTGCTTGTGGTTGCAGCCCAGTTTCTCAACAGTGATATCAGAGCATTAGGTTGTTTGGGGGCTGTGTTTGGTGAATGGCAAGAATGGATGACTCAAGTGGAGCAATGATTAAGTTGACATCATCCAACTACTCTATTTGGAAGCCACGGATGTAGGATATTCTGTTTTGCAAGGATCTCTATGAGCCAATTGAAAATGGAAGCGAGAAGCCGGAAGACAAGACCGAGAATCAATGGGAGGTCTTGCATAGAAAGGCGGTGGCAATCATTCGACAATGGATTGACCAAAGCATCTTTCATCATGTTGCAAAAGATACAAGAGCATATGAATTGTGGCAGAAATTGGAGTCCATGTATGAGAGGCAATCCGCTCAAAATAAAGCCTCACTCATTCGAAGAATTGTGAACTTGAAGTACAAGGATGGGCGTAGTGTCTCGGAGCATTTGAGTGACTTTCAAGGGCTTGTGAACCAGCTAACTACTATGAAGTTAGCACTTGATGATGAAGTGTAAGCATTGTTACTTCTCAGTTCTTTGCCGGATAGTTGGGAGACTTTGGTGGTCTCACTTAGCAACTCAGCACCTAATGGCAAGTTGACGATGGACATTGTCAAGGATAGCATGTTGAATTAGAGAGGCAAGGAGAAAAGAGTTCGGGATTACATCAGAGTCACATGCTTTGGTGGCGGATAATTCTGGAAGTCGTGGAAGAAGCAGAAATCGAAATTCCAACTTCAAGAACTCTCAAAATCAAAGTAACAGCCGATGGAGATCAAAAGGGAGATCAAAATCAGTGTCAAGACCAAGAGGAGAAATCACATGTTATCATTGCAACTAGCCCGAACACATGAGGAGAGAGTGCAGAATCTTGAAACGAGAACAAGCTAGAGGAAAAGGTGTGGAAAACCGAGAAAAAGATGAAACTACTGCTGTTGCCACAGATGGTGATGTGGTCATTGTTTGTGATGCCGGTTTTGTTAACCTTGCTTGTCAAGAGAGTACATGGGTTGTTGACTCAAGTGCCTCATTCCATGTGACTAGGGGTGTACATGGGTCGGGTGGTTCGGGTTTAACCATTTTAATCACCTGACCCATGCACTACGGTTTGAGAAATATTAAACCCAAACCCACCCAAAAAAAAATTAAACCCTACGGTTTATTTTTAATTTGGTTGGGTCGGGTTGGCGATATTTTTAAGTAAAAACCCAACCCAACACAAAATATGTAATTATTCCACAACATAAAATATATTTTATAAATAACTAAATTTCAAATGAATAAACTGAGGTGAAAGGCATCAAATTTCATAAATGTTGATTCATTTTTAATAAAATGTGATTTACTTCAACATATGTCTAATTTTTTTCACAATATTTGTTAAAATAGGCTAAAAAGGTTATAAACGAATGCACCCATAATATGTTATTCTATTAAAATTGTACACAAGAAAAAGGATTACGTGAATCATAGCTATATTAAATTTATGTCTAAACTTTAAACCTAAGAATGCATTAAATTAGGGAGACCATGAGAGAAAAACATGGTGAAATATCTTAATTTTAGCATAATTATAAATGACATAAATATTTTTGGATACGAACTCCTACCAATAGTTGGAACACGGGTTGGGTCGGGTTCTACGGGTTGTGTAATCCAAAATCCAAACCCAACCCAATAGAGGCGGGTTGTACAAAAGAAAACCCTCACCCAACCCGAAACCTTTGTTTTTGCGATAAATATGGGTGGGTTGGGTCGGGTTGGACGGGTGGGTCTGTTTACGGGTGTGTTTGTTCACCCCTACATGTGACCTCACGGGTTGATTTTTTCTCTTCCTACACAAACGGTAACTATGGTCGTGTGAGGATGGGAAATGATGGCGCATCAAAGATTGTTGGCATGTGTGATATTCATCTAGAGACCAACACGGGTTGCAAGCTAGTCTTGAAGGATGTGAGACATGTTCCTAACATGAGGCTGAATTTGATATCCACGGGAAAGCTTGATGATGATGGTTATACCAACTATTTTGGAGAAGGAAAATGGAAGCTCTCAAGAGGTTCTCTTGTGGTGGCTAAAGGCAAGAAGGAAAGTACGCACTACATGACGAATGCAAAGCATAGCAAGGGAGGAATCAATGTTGCTGAGAAAGATTATTCCATTGAGCTTTGGCATAAGAGACTCGGACATTTGAGCAAGAAGGGGCTGCAAATATTGTCCAAGAAACAACTCTTTCCCGGAGCTAAAGGTACTCTTCTTAAAACTTGTGTTCATTGCTTAGCCAGAAAAACTCATAGAGTTGCATTTCATAGATTTCCACCTTCTAGAAGGAGTAAGGTACTTGATCTAATTCACACTGATGTTTGTTTTATGCGAGATAAAACTCTTGGTTGTGCAAGTTATTATGTTACCTTCATCGATGATCACTCAAGGAAGGTGTGGACATATGCTTTGAAAACGAAGGATCAAGTGCTAGATGTTTTCAAGCAATTTCACGCAGAAGTGGAAAGGGAAACCGGCCTGAAGTTGAAGTGTGTAAGGGTTGATAACGGGGGAGAGTATAGAGGTCCATTCGAAAGCTATTGCAGATTGCATGGAATTAAACTGCAGAAAAGTGTACCCAAGGCTCCACAAAAAAACGGTGTCGCCGAGAGGATGAATAGAACAATTTGTGAGAGAATCAAGTGTATGCTCTCACATGCCAAGCTACCTAAATCATTTTGGGGAGAAGCAATGCGGACAACGGTTGATCTAATCAATATCTCACCATTGGTCCCATTGGAGGGTGATGTGCCTCAACGAGTATGGACGGGAAAGGAAGTCTCATATGAACACTTGCGAGTGTTCGGTTGCAAAGCCTATGTTCATGTTCCAAAAGATGAGAGAGCAAAGCTTGATGACAAAGCAAAGCCATGTATATTCATGGGATATGGGCGTGAAGAGTTTGGGTACAGATTATGAGATCCAATTGCAAGGAAAATTGTTCGGAGCCGGGATGTGATTTTTCTTGAAGATGAGACAAGTGAAGACGTCGAAAGGGTTGAAAAGAAGAAAAAACAGCAGCTGGTCCGGTTAATTTGGAGCCTATATCTCCATCCCAAATGCATGAAAATATTGAGGAAGTAGTGCATGATGAGCCCCAAGGTGCACTAGATCAAGAAATGCAATGAGAAGAGCAATTGGAGAAAGAAAAACAAGTTGAAGAAGAGCAACCTCTATCCGAACCAAGAAAGTCAACAAGAGATCGCAAAGCTTCCACTTGGTACTCCCCTCATGAGTACCTATTGTTGACTGACGGGGGAGAACCCAAATATTATCAAGAAGCCATGTCTCATGAAGACAAGGAGGAGTGAAACAAAGCAATGCAAGAAGAGATGAAGTCTTTGCAAGAGAATCACACCTATGATTTGGTGAAACTCAGCCTAGTTATTCTGCTAACTGGAATATTCGTTAGTATATACTAGTTCATGTATTTTGGATATTAGTTAGTATCTGCTAACGAATCTTCAAGTTAGCATATTAACTTTCCCCGGTGAAAATACCCACAGGAAAAAGATCACTTAAGAACAAGTGGGTCTACAAGTTAAAGACGAGGGAAACTAGTTCAAAGCCTTGGTTTAGGGCACGACTAGTTGTGAAGGGTTTCAACCAAAAGAAAGGTGTTGATTTTGAAGAAATTTTCTCTCCCGTGGTGAAGACGTCCTCTATCCGAGTTTTGCTTGGGTTGGCTGCAAGTTTGGACTTGGAAGTTGAACAACTCGATGTGAAGATGGCGTTTCTTCATGGTGACTTAGAGGAATAAATCTACATGGATCAACCGGAAGGGTTCGAGGTTAAAGGCAAAGAAGATCTTGTATGCAGATTGAGAAAGATCTTATATGTGTTGAAGCAAGCACCAAGGCAACGGTACAAGAAATTTGACTCATTCGTGGTAAAAAACGGGTATGCAAGAACTACCTCCGATCATTGTGTGTTTGTGAAATACTTTGCTGAAAATTATTTCATCATTCTCTTGCTTTACGTGGATGACATGTTGATCGTGGGTCGGAATGTTGGAGAGATTGATAGATAGAAAAAGGAGTTGAGTAAATCCTTTGCCATGAAGGACTTAGGACCGGTGAAACAAATTCTAGGGACGAGAATCTCTAGGGATCGAAGGAATGGAAAAATTTGGTTGTCTCAAGAAAGGTATATTGAAAGAGTTCTTGAGCGGTTTAACATGAGCAAGGCTAAGGCGGTTAGTACTCCACTTGGAGTACATTTCAAGTTGAGTGTGAATCATTGTCCTACAAGTGATGAAGAGAAAGAAGCAATGAAGAATGTGCCTTATGCATCAGTTGTTGGAAGCTTGATGTATGCCATGGTTTGCACAAGGCCAGATATTGCTCATGCCATTGGGATTGTTTGTCGGTTTCTTTCCAATCCGCGGAAAGAACATTCGAGAGCAGTGAAGTGGATTCTTCGCTACTTGAGAGGTACTTCTAGAGTGTGTCTATGCTTTGGTAATGACAAGACCATACTTGATGGATATACCGATGCTAACATGGTAGGTGATGTGGACTCTAGAAAGTCGACTTCTGGATATATGATGACTTTGCAGGTGCTGCAGTTTCATGGCAATCTAAACTGCAAAAATGTGTTGCATTATCAACAATAGAAGCCGAATACATAGTCGTGACAGAAGCTTGCAAAGAGATGTTATGGTTGAAGAAGTTTCTTCAAGAGTTGGGCATTAAGCAAGAGTGGTATGTGCTCTATTGTGATAGTCAAAGTGCAATTCATCTTTGCCAGAATCTAACTTTCCACTTAAGGTCGAAACACATAGATGTTCGATATCATTGGATTCGTGATGTTTTGGAAGAGAAGTTGTTGGACCTCAACAAAGTGCATACGGAAGACAATGGTTCGGACATGATGAATAAGTCTCTACCAAGTGGAAAACATATCTTCTGTCGAGATGAAGCAGGTTTGGTGCTACCCCCATATTAGCTGGAGGGGGAGATTTGTTGGGTTGGTCCAACTCATATAGTGGTTGGATTAACCTGTTTAAGTTTGAGTTTTGGTTGGTTTCTAGAAGATCCTCTATTTTTCAAAATAGAGAGTTATTGTCTACTCAAAAGTAAAAAAAGGTGAAAGCCTTTCATTTTTTAGAGAGAGAGAATTAGAAAAGAGAAGAGATAAGGAAAAAGAGAGAAGAGAGAAAGAGCTGCAGTTTTTCGTTTCTGCAGCAGAGCAGCCTTTTCAAGTGGGCGTTCTGGAAGATTGAACCGTTGGAGCGTCCTGAAATTTAGACAGTGGGTCAGCAATTATCTGGGTTTCAATCTTACCGGAGGGATCGTCGTTCGGAGCTCTAGTTTGTCGGTAATAGCTGCTGAACAGAAGGTGTATGAATCTGTTTTTTGGTATCTCTAAATCTCTCTTTGCCTTGCTCTTGTTCTTGTTATCCACCATGTTGGTGAGAGCTATTGTGGTTGATTGTTGATCCAAGAAGTGTGTCCTTGAGGTGTTTGTAATCCTCTAGCTAGTCTAGAGAGGGCTTGTAATCCCACCAGAGTCTAGTAGAGTTGTGGCTTGGACAAAGGTCCCGTGGGTTTTCCCGATTTGGGGTTTCCACGTAAAAATCGTGTGTCTTGTGCATTCTATTATTGCTGGTGGTTGCAGCCCGGTTTCTCAACATCATCATACGCTACAAAACCTAGCGAAAAGAAGGATAAGTGCTTGGATGATTTTCTCTTTAATTGGTGGAATTTCCCATTTGTTACAAAAGCAACGTTCTTTGGTGATTTTCACAATACTTGGTATTAGTTGGTGGGGGTTACTTTGCTGGCAGAAGCAAACTTTGACAATGGGACCTTAGCGTCTCAACTATGGTGGCTCATGCTCTATGGAGATCCCGGTTGAAGAAGAAGAGTTATGTTCTTGGCTGATTCTTGTGGTCAAGAATCGTTTCTAGGGGGATGGAATGTCGTGTGCATTTATTTAATTTATAATTGTTAATTAATTATGGGTTGTTAGAGATTATTAGGACGTGATTAGTGGGGTTAGTGATGGCCTAGAATTGGGGGACTTAGTTAGGTGTTTTCGTTTGGGCTTTCTAGTTTGTAGGGTTAGTATTTTCATTCCGTATTTAAGGTAGTAGATGGATAGATGCAAAGGAATCAATCAAGTATAATAAAGAAAAGGGTTTTACACACCTACGTGTTAATTTGGGAGGTTGGTTTTCCTCGAAAAAGCTTAGGGGTTCCGTTCTCGCCATTAAGAAGAACACTTCTCTTCTTCTCAATCTATCTATCCTTCCTCTATTCTTCTTCTTCCTATTTTGATCTTTCTCCCTATATTATATTCTACAAAACGTGCACATAACATTCGGTCACTTTAATTACATGTGTTTTCTAGAGAGACGAGTAGTTTTTCTTCTAGTTTAGTGAGGGAATCGAATCTCCGTAAATGCCAAAACCCGCCTTCTATTTATAAATGGGGTAATTCTGACAAGTTGCTCCTTCGTCCGCGTCACCACCCCATTAAATGCATTGTACCTTACAATGCGAATATGTCTCGACCGTCTAAGAACCTTTTAAGTGAAGATCACGCGCATGGTTCCTGTTTTGCTAATGTCTGTACTATTTTGGACGGACATCTACCTTGTCGCCATGCTCCCTGACGGAGGGTTTTCTCATAGGCTTGCACGTGCGTCTAGCCCATCAAGTGCCCTGCTGGTCTTGCTACCAGCCTTCCTCACTTCACTGGCTCATCGTGCTTTAACTAGTGGACTTTTCTAGGAGAAGGCCAAACTAACTTAATAGTTGAAAAATGACATTTCAGACAGCTTAGTGTTGCAATAGGTAAAGTCAACACTGATATCAAATGGAAAAGTTTGGAAGATTGAAGGGGAATGGTTGGATAATTTTTCCCTAGAGATAGATAAAGAGATGAATAAATGTGATTTAAAAGAGGCAAGGCTATGATGCGGGTTTTCCAGTATTAGTGATATGCATATACACAATATATAATAGCAGGAAGGGGAAAACTGTTGCTCCATTTCAAATTTCCTGCAACGAGAGTGAAAGTAGGAAGGACATTTTGGTCTTCACAATTACTTTTTTTTATTCATTAAAAAGACATGTACTAGGATTCAAACCATGACCACTTTAAAGAAAAGCAAGAATCATAACCAATTACACTAAGTACAATTGTTATATATTTTAAAATTAAAAACATATAATAGCAGGAAAGAAAAAAACCCTTCCTCCATTTCAAATTCCCTGCTCTAGGAGCGTTTATATGAACGGTAGAATAGGGAGTGTCAATATTTTTCTCTTTCCTCTGTGGAATGGGCCAACTTACCGTACCCATGCGGATTTAAACGAGTCTAGTTATATTTTTAAATTAAAAACATATAATAGCAGGAAAGAAAAAAACCCTTCCTCCATTTCAAATTCCCTGCTCTAGGAGCGTTTATATGAATGGTAGAATAGAGAGTGTCAATGTTTTTCTCTTTCCTTTGTGGAATGTGCCAACTTACCGTACCCATGCGGACTTAAACGGGTCTAGGAGTGTCAATTTTTTTTAAGCCCTTTTATTTCTCTGTGGTGGTAAAATATATATGAAAAGGCAAAAACAATACTACTTTTTATGGCTAAAAGAAAAAATTTAACAATAAACTAATACATGGATTCTAATGGGCTAACCGCTAACCATAAAATATAAGAGTTGAATGGGCCTGACCTACACAGGATTTGTCATAAAACAAATGAACATCATGGGTTTGTCATTCTAAAACAAGCTATTTTCCCTAGCATAATATATATTATGCTATTATTTTATATCTTAGTGGCTAAAATATAATGTATTTTAAAGTTATTCAATGGTTCAACCTCGACCAATCCAATTAGTCCAATTTTTATCATTTCAAATATATATTATGTAATTATTTGATATCATAAAGATTAAATTATAGTGTATTTTTTAGGGAATCATTTGGTATTTGTTAGTAAAAAACTAAACAGAAAGATTTATTTGGTTATTTTTAACATTAAAACGATACTAAACATTTTCAGTTTCCTTTCGAATTTCTATGGTTTTATTCCCGATTCAGTGATGTGCAATGGCGAAATGCAGTCATCTCTTTTCTTTCACTATTTTTTATTTTTAAATAGAAAACTTAAAAGTAAAGAATAATTAGAGGTTGGCATGGGTCGGTCAAACATGTTGAATTCAAGTTTTGGGCCGTTTTGATAAAGTCTAATTTATAATCACGTGGTTCCTTGATACCTGATAAAAATCTCAATCCAAACCAGTTTGGCACATGAGTCCGTTCTTACCACCATTTTCTAGGGATACAGGAACGGCGGTTCCTATCCTAAATCGTATTGTTCGTTCTTGATTTCTTTAGATTTTATCATGTCCTGGCAAAAACCAGAAAGCACAATGACGACAAGATGAAAGTTTTATAAAGCAAATTAATCGGCCAACGGGGCGAGTAAAAGCTAACAACGAATGTGAGATGCTCATTTCCCGAAAACCGGCGGGATAGGCGATTTTTTATTCGATTTTCTAGAATTCGGTTTCTATAAAACTTACTCCACCTTATCATATTACTAGAAACAATATTGTTTCACAAGATAACAGGTACTTGATTTTGGTTCATAAGGCTGATTTTTTATTCGTTGCATCATTCATGTCTCGTTCATGCTAAAATTCACTATTTTTATCACGTGTTTCCCAGTGTTCTAGAAGACGTGCCTAGGCGCGATTAATTGTTGGGCATGGAGGAAACGTGGAGAAGAGAGCCGGGCGACTGAACTGGGCGTACAAAACGGGGAATCGAGAGGGAAAACGCCTAGGCGACGATTAGGCGCTCGGAAGCGTCGTTCCCATCAGATGGGCGAGCCCAAAACAAATAAATAGGGGGGAAGTTCTACATTTTTATGATTACCCGTAACCCTAATATGCCCATTTATTTCATTCAACATATCTAGCAAAAAGGAGAGACCAGCACCCACGACGAGTGACCACCGCCGTCCTCAACGCGAGCGACTAGCGCCGCCGTCCTCGCTGTCGGACCCGCCATCAATCAGGGTTGTCGGACTCGCCATCGACCAGCGCCTTTCTCGCCTTATTCCTCGTTGTTCGTCCTCGCCATCTCTTGCCGGTCATCATCACAAAGCACAGAGAGTTGGCGGTCAAATGAGAATGGGTTGGGATGAATTGATTCAATTGATTTTAAAGGCTAAATCTGGACAAATTGATGTGGGTTGACATTGTTTGTTTTGTGATGGGTAGTCGATTGATGGTAGGGATGAGATTTAGGGAATATAATGGAATTTAGTCTTGTTTGGTGGTGGTAGTATAGATGCAGAGGGTGAAGGGAAAGAAAAGAGAAAGAAGAACAATGAAGTCAAGGGAAAGAAGAGTCGGCGGGTGAAGGTTACGCAATTTTTTTTATTGAGTTTAACTCAGTTTGCACTTTTTTTTTCCAAGTCAGAGTATTATTCAAAAGTCACAAATCGGAAGACAAAAAAACGCGGGAGTCGACCAATAGTCGAACTCCCGATGAGAGGGCCTTTTGTGCCACATGATGGGCAGCCCTATTAAAGTGACGGGACACAAAGCAGAAGGAAACACTGTGAAATGAAGATGTCAAGCTCCGGATGTCCTCCAATATAGCGCCACCCCGAACATGTTGTACATCATCTCCAATCATCCGACGGATCAAGAGTTGAGAGTCCCCATGAAAACAAACAGCAAGAAAGGAATGAGTTAGACACCACTGCACAGCATCCCGTAGAGCTAAACATTCCATGAGGAAAGGGTCCTGAATCCCATCATAAAATTTTCCAAAGGCAAACAGAACAGTACCTGTCGTATGAAAGCCGACAAATCCTATACCACCTCCTTG